GAGCTTCACAGTGATTTTATTATGTAGGCACTAGTGTTAATCCTAGTTATAAATGAGGAAACTGAGGCTTATAGGGTTGGTAATTTCCACAAAGTCACACCATAAGAGAACGGAGACATTGACTCATTTACTTTAGAGCTCACGCTCATAGGTCTGAAGCCATATGTCCCCAAATATTATTCATATTAATATGAATTTTATGTTAATTAATTTCAATATTGATATTAACCTGCTCAGAGCTTTGAGGAGTGATGCAGTAATGACATCTATTAATTTGGTTAACCTAGCATTTCTAAATCTACTTGCTATAGAATGCTTATGAATTTTAGTAGAAGTAGTGTCCCAAAGAATATAGTTCTAGAAATACTGATATAAGCTATAGACTTGGTATACATAAGGAGCCAGGAGGGGAGTAGCTCTTTAATATTTCTCTGGCCACTTATTCCCCCATAACCGTTGGGGTCCTTCCCAGGCATGTTTCCACCTGGTGATTTGGAATAGACAGGACTAAGAAGTAAACACCTGAAATCCTCGCTGCTGCGGGTGCACGGAGTGCTGGAACCTTTTGCATAAATGTGTAATATTTAGTACATCCTGCAAAGGGAACAAGTTTAATTTAGTTAAGCCACAAGGTTGAGTGAAAAACAAACATGTTGCTGTTATTGTTTAGTCAATTAAATTGTCCTCTGTGCTCCTAGGAACTGTTCCACATTTATTACCAGTGAGATACACGTTCTGGCAATTTCTTTGCTTCCGATTGTCTTATATTTAGCACATCTAAAGATTTGAGGACAAATGATGGAAGACATGGTGATGAATTGTCAGGCTTTTCTAAAGATTCAGAAGTTCTAAAGTTCCTGCCAGTGACAGATGGTCTGTCCTTACTCATTGCTTGTCTTCCTGACAGGGCTTGATTTTTTTCCCCCTTTTTTGCTCGATTCCCTTAAAATAAGCTCAGCTTCTTGGGAGGCAGGGTAGTCTCATTTGTTATAACTATGTTACTTTGTATCAGTGTTGAAGCAAGTATATATGAACATGCCATGCTCCTTTACACGATTCATATACACATGTCTAGTGATAAGAGAGAAGCATGGGTTAAGAAGCAGAGGAGGAGCAGATTACCAAGGAAAATCCATATTGCCTTTCTGTTATTTTGATAACCAAACATACAGGAGTCCCCACTGGACAGTTTTTTCCTGCTGACTTGCCCAAGCATAATGCTGAGTTAATAGCTCTGGCACAATATAATCTTTTGAGGAGTGTTTCTTATCGTTATGGTAATAAAATTTTTATTAATTTTAGGATCTTCAGTATTTCATAGCAATCTAAAATTTCTTGAAATTTTGGATTAAAAATACAATTAGTGTTTACTAATTTGCTAGACATTTATAAGAATCCACAGAATGAGAACACACAACTATAACAATGATGTGCTCAGATATAAAATAGATTCCCAGTGAAAAAAAAGGAAAAAAAATCAATCAATTGCTTAATCCCTGTCATTGACTTCAACTATGTTTACTGCTGAAAGAGGAGATGAGATACTTAGGTAAGGAAGATGGGGAAAGGAAACAATTTTCCCTCTTTGAGTGCTAATGTAACTGTGGAAATAAATATAAAGGTTAAAAAAGTTCTAGGATATCTTATAGTCACTTCTTAATCTTTTATCCAGAAGTAATTCAGTCCTTTGATTAACAATGCCACTAGTCCGATATAGCATTACTGAGACTGAGGTATATCAGGTGAGAGGGGATTAATTTTACTAAAAAATAGAAAAATTATCAGATGATTTGATTTAGCTTTACAATATCAAAATGGCTTTTGTTATCCACACAAATCGCTGTGAATTTCTTTTTTATTTAAATATGCCTCTCCTTAGAATGTTCATTATACGTTAGCTCAATGTGATAATGTGTGGAAAGCATAAACCACATTATCACTCCTTTCCATCTTTTTTTTTTAACTCTGAGGTATTTTTACTATTCTGAAGGAGATACATATATATATATATATAAACACACATACTATGTACTAGTATAGGTATAGTAGTATATTTTATTTTATTTGTACAATGTACCTATGTTAGTCATTTAAGTGAAAGAACTCAAAGCTTACCAGATTTCCAAAGTCTAGGCTATTGAACTGCCTGTCATCTTTTTTTGGCCCTTACTAAATCCTCCTTCCATTTATAGTTATCAGTTCCCTTTTTAACTGGTGGCTTTTTTTTAGTAACATTCAATTATTTAAAAATCAGAGAACTCATGCCAGCTCATTGTTTATGCTTAAAGATGTTAACATAAACCTAAGGAAAGTATATTCCTCCTCAGATGATGGATGGAAGCATTAACATTTCATGTACAACATAGCAATAAAAAAGTTACAAAGTTTCTTTATAACAGGGTGCTGCCTTAATACACGGATTTAAGTTGTGTGTACATATTTTGGTATGTAATTTAAAGGACAGACATATCTACCTTTTCCTTCTTAAGTACCTTTCTGGTATAATTTGTTTTCTTTCCCCAAAGAATACTAGGCTCATGAAAAAAGTCCTGAATATTCAACATTTGTGAAAAGGCCAACAAATATTGCATGGTTTTGAAACCATGCCTTTATAAAATCACAGGATTTAAAATTACTCTAATGAGCTGTTTATAAAAATTTATTAAGGTTAGAAAAAGGTACATAGCTAAGATTAATAAAAATGGATTACATTAAATAAAATAGGCTAAATTAATCTAAGAAGTATACCCAAAATGTAATGTGTCAAGAGGTTTATCTCTGGGTTAGTACAATACCACATCAGGTAGTAGGGGAGGAATAGGGTCTGTTCCAAGAACTCAAGCTATTGTAGTAAATGATTTATTCCCTTATCTGCAGTAATATGCTAATAATCTTTTTCCTTGTTTCAAATTTATACTATGAAATGTGTTGATACTCATGAGTGAAATTAAAGACAGGAGTGAAAGAAGATAATCTCCCTGCTGACCCTAAGAAAAGGAGGGTGGTAGAGTTATTAGAATCATGGCCTGAGGTGAGATAATATGCCTTTCTCCTCTACTTAAACACAAGACTGAGCCTGTACTTCTATACTGTTTCATGCTTTTGCCTGAAAGTTTATTTCAGGTCAGAGTGCGAAAGATCAATAAGACTAATGGTCTAGACAAATTATCAGTAAGTTACCGTTGTAACCTTTACCTTCTACCTCTTTCATAAGTGCTGTTGTACAAGACAACTTTTCACTTAAAAAGGTCCGCGGGTTAATGAAGAGTTCTTAGAGCCCAAATGTTGCTTAATCTGTCCAAATGGTACAGATTATCAAAATGAAGACAATTTAAACTAAACTGAGTCATCTCCTAACTCTACTGCTGATATTGCTTCAGTAGTTCTTTCAGTCTATATTTTGGCTTTCATTTCTCTTTGTATTCTTGCTGTTTCCGTATTTTGGTCATGGGCTTTTATAAAAAACATATTTCTCTCTATTTTATCTGGAGAACTACTTTCAGAATCTCTGGTTTGTATTTCTTTAAATTCTTATGGAGTTCCTGCCTATTTTCCAGAACTTTTTATTGGTAATAAATTAGTGATGATTTGTCTAAGATGATTGAAGAAATATAAAATTAGAAATAAGTGCTGTCATTAATGGTATAAAGTGATTTCTAAAACGGAAAACTGCCAAAGTCATATTTTCTACATTGTTTCACATATAAATTGAAAATATATGTATTTCAAAAAATGATAATAATGATATAACTTAAAAATAAATAACATTTCTCCACTTCTATGATAATGTGTTATCTATACACTTCAGTAAATTCGTAGGGACCAATGTGATACCTATTGATAGTACAAAATTTATACCAAAATTAAAAGGAAAAACAAAGATTCTGAAAGTAACTATATCCTTTCAGAAAACACTGAATCATACAAGAAATATATTTCCAATTGCATTTCTCATGATTCAGTGCATCTTTCAACAGTCATTTATCAGTTGGACAAAGAATAACCAGCAAAACACAATCACCATATTATAACAACTCCTTAATGGTTATTAGAAAGCATCTTCATTCAAAACCCAATCTTTGGGCATTATTGCTGAAAATATGAGAATAATATTTTACAAAACAGTCTCACCTATTATATGACTGTATGCCCATGGCGTGAATCATAAGAACATACCTTAAAATATGTGTAAGATTGGATAGAATGGGAAGTGATACGAAAGCTACCTTTACTACACACACACACACACACACACACACACACACACACACACACGTATGTGTGCCCCTAGCTTACTTTTTTAGCCCAAGAGGGATATGTTCATTTAGAATCAATTTATTCAAAGTTAGTCAGTCAAGATTGCCCCCTATGTATTGTTTGTTTTTCCTTTTGCATAAATTGTTTGTGTTTATGTAATTAGCAAGCTAAAAGCTACCGAAGTTACTCACCCATAACTTAATGCTAATATAATGTTTATTGCTTTTAGTTTTTACATTCAAATACTTTTACAATTGGATCTCCTTAGAGAACACAGCACAAAGCGTTTCAGAACACTGAGCACTTTACTCTAAGAAAATAGCAAGCATATACACAGGGAAATAGCAGAAGATAAGAATGTTAAGTTAGAGCCAGATTGTGGAGGGATATGTACTTAGATAATAGAAAGCCATCAAAGTTTATTTGGAATAGGAAATGTGATTTGAACTACACTCCCAGTTAAATCACTATGTGGTATTATTTATTTTTTTAGTTGAAAACTGTTTTTCTAGGCTTGTGATGAATTTTATTTTCAAACTTAATTAGCAAGTCTACAGTGCATCTACATGTCGAACACAAATGTTTCTATGATGTTCAGCTAACAGTTTTCCATCTTTTATTTAATAACAAAGATCTTTCTAATGTGATATGAGGGGTTTTTGCCATTTGCAAGTATATTCATTTGGTTTGGTTTGGTTTTCACTGTTAATGCTGACTGATAGCTGGTTTGTTTTCTGTTCTAGGTTGTGGAGACTAATTTGGTTGCTTTTGACTGTCACTGGATCATTATAAATGAGGTAACACCAACTAAACCTTATTGTCAACTCTGGGTCCTGTTTTCATATAGTTAGTCACAGCATTTCCTATGGCCATGGAATCCTAAGAGGAAATAGAACACAAAGTAAACTTTTAGCTTCCTGACTGGATGCTAACTAAAAATGGAATAAGGAGTTTTAAAAAATTATAAATGGCTTTGTATGAATAAAATAAATGGAGATTGTCTTCCCACTGAGTATCTTTTAGTCTTTTCCGTTGGCATACACTGACTGCTTTGGGAAATCATCTTTATACAAAGTACAGTTCTTCTTTGTAAGCAAAGTGAATTCCTCCCAGTGGAGTCCTTGTGTTCCATTTATATTTTAATGTTGTTTCTAGAACTTTTATATCCACCCTCCTTACATGAGGATTAAATAGTTCAGCATATGAATATGAATAAAGAAGAATAGATATTTTTCTTTTCATGATGAAATACAACTATTTTAAAATCCATCAAGTTGTCAAATGCTTTATGAAAGTTTATTGATTTTTGTAAAGACAATACATAAGATTAAAAATATATTACAACTTGAGAACTCTGTGAGATAGATCGTTCGATTGGCACCTGCCAGTCGGAATTGGGAAGGACAATGAGCAGATCAGTCATGGACAAATAATGAGATCACATGAATTTGTCCTCAACAAGACCTAGCATTCTTATCATATCTATTACTAGGAATAAAAAGAATGTATTATTTGTCTGTTAGCTGTGTTACTATGGATATATAATGTAGTCACCCTGTGTTATTTGTACAGTAAGTATAGTAACATTTACTTTATAAGCTCCTTATAAAAATTAAGTGAGATATTACCGAATACTCTTAACATATGCTGACAAATGACACTCAGTAAATGGTACTACAATAATGATTATATTACACTAAAGTTCACAGATCAGTTTCTTACATGTTAATGTGTTGAATACTAAACATTATGCTATGAAGCATTGAGGGAATGAGGTTCATAGAGGGTAAATGATTTTACACAGAAAAATAAAAATGATTCAAAGTTTCAAGTTGTGTCTTCTACACATTGGTAGAATTTTAGTACCATTCTTTTTTTTTAGGAATAATTAATATTCTATCATATTAGTTTTAGGTGTGTAACACAAAGATTATATGTATATACATGTGTATATATGTATATGTATATATATATATATATATATATATATACACTTAAAGGTGATCACCACAATTAAGTACCATATGTAGCCATACAAAGTTAGTCTTTTTTTCTTGTGAAGAGAACTTTTAAGATATATTCTCTTAGCAGCTTTCAAATATGCGATATATTACAGACTGTAGTCACCATGCTGTATATTACATCCCCATAATTTATTTTATAACTACAAGTTTGTTGTGTTTCTTAATCCCTTTCACCCATTTCCCCCATCTAATTCTCCTCCCCTCTGGCACCCACCAATATATTCTCTGCATTTATTAGTTTTGCTTGGTTTTGTTTGTTCATTTCTTTTGTTTTTAAGATTCCACATGTAAGTGAAATCGTAACGCATTTGTCTTTCTCTGTCTGACTTACTTCACTTAGTGTAATACCCTTACAATTTATTCATGTTGTTGTGAATGGCAAGATTTCATTTCCTTTTAAAACTGAGTGGTATTCCATTCTGTGTGTATGTGTGTCCATTTCTTAACCGATGGATACTTAGGTTGCTTCTATATTTTGGCTACTGTACATAATGCTGCAACAAAATGGGGGTTCTTATACCTTTTTGGATTAGTGTTCTTATTTTCTTTGAATAAATACCCAAAAATGGAATTGCTGGACCATATGCATTTTTTTTTTAATTTTTTGAGGAAACACCATACTGTTTTCCATAGAGGCTGTACCAATATATATTCCTACCACCACTGCACAAAGTTTCCCTTTTCTCCACATCCTCCCCAACACTTATTATTTCTTATCTTTTTGGTAATATCCATTCTATCAGGTGTGAAGTGCTCTCTCATTGTGATTTTGATTTGCATTTCACTGATTATTAGTGATATTGAGCATCTTTTTGTGTGCTTGTTGGCCATCTGTATGTCTGCTGTGGAAAAATGTTTGTTTAGATCCTCTGCCCATTTTTAGATTAGTTTTTGCTATTGAGATGTATGAGTTCTTTATATATTTTGGGTTTTTTGTTTTTAAGATTCATTTATTTACTTTAAAGAGAGAGAGGGAGCCAAGTGGGGAGAGGGGCAGAGGGAGAGAATCTTCAAGCCGACTCCTCACTGAGTGCAGAGACTGCCATAGGGCTCCATCTCATGACCCATGAGATCATGACCTGGGCTGAAAGCAAGAGGCTGACACTTAACTGACTGAGCCACCCAGGCGCCCCTCTTTACATATTTTAGATATTAACCCCTTATCAGATATATGATTTGCAAATACCTCCTCCTATTCAAAAGGTTACTTTTTCATTTTGTTGATGGTTTCCTTCACTGTGCAGAAGTTTTGTTTGTTTTGTTTTTAGTTTGAGGTAGTCCCAACTTGTTTATTTTTTGCTTTTGTTGCCCTAGCTTTTGGAGTCAAATCCAAAAAGTCGTGACCAAGACTTATGTCTAAAAGCTTTCCACCTTGTTTTCTTATAGGAGCTTTATGGTTTCAGGTCTTACATTCAAATCTTTAATCCATTTGAAGTTAATTCTTGTGCATGGTCTAACATTCTAATTTCATTCTTTTGTGTAGCTGTCCGGTTTTCCCAACACCATTTATTCTGGACTGTCTTTCCTATTGTATATTCTTGGCTCTTTTGTTCTAAATTAATTGACTGAACATAAATACATGGGTTTCTTTCTGGGCTATATGTTGTGTTCCATTGATCTATGTGCCTGTGTTTATGTCAGTACCATACTATTTTGATTGCTATAGCTTTGTAATATAGTTTGAAATCAGAGCGTATGATGCCTCCAGGTTTGTTCTTCTTTCTCAGAGTTGCTTTGGCTATTCAGGATCCTTTGTGTTTCCATACAAATTTTAGGATTGTTTGTTCTATTTATGTGAAAATGCCATTGGAATTTTGGTAGGGATTACAAGGATTCTGTAGATTGCCTTGGGTAATATGGACATTTTAACACTATTAATTCTTCCAATCCATCAACATGAATTATATTTTCATTTACTTGTGCCTTCTTCAATTTATGTTGTCCATGTCTTAGAGTTTGCAGTATAAAAGTCTTTCACTTCCTCGGTTAAATTTGTTTCTCAGTATTTCATTCTTTTTAAACAGTTGTGAGTGGGATTGTTTTCTTAATTTCTCCTTCTGTTTTTGCTGCAACCCATAGATTTTGGTATGTTACAGTTCCATTTTCATTTGTTCATTCCCTTACATGTCACAAGTTCTTTTTCTCTGTCTTTTACGATTCTCTTCTTATCTTTAAGTTTTGAAATTTAATTATAAGGTATCTTGATATGGCTGTTTTTGGGTTCCTCTTATTTGGAACTCTCTGGACTAACTGGACCTGGATGTCTGTTTCCTTCCCCAGGTTAGGGAAGTTTTCAGCCATTATTTCTTCAAATAAGTTTTTCAGTCCCTTTCTCACTCTGTTCTCCTTTTGGGACTTCCATGATGCAAATTTTGTTCTGTTTGATGTTGTTTTATCGCTTCCTTAAGCTATCTTTGGTTTTTTATTTGTTTTCTTTTTGCTGCTCTGACTGGATGAGTTCTACTGCCTTGTCTTCAAGATAACTGATCCTTTCTTCTGCTTCATCTAGTCTGCTGTTGAACCTTTCTAGTGTATTCTTCGGTTGAATTATTGTATTCTTCAGCTCTATGACTTCTGTTGGTATTTTCTTATATTTTCTATCTCTCTTTGAAGTTCTCACTATTTTTATTCATCTTCTTCGGAGTTTGGTGAGCATCTTTATGACCATTATTTTGAACTTTTTATCAAGTAAATTAAATATCTCTGTTTCATTAAGGTTTTTTCCCTGAGGTTTTATGGTATTCTTTTGTTTGGAACATATTCCTTTGTTTCTTCATTTTGCTTGGCTATGTTTGTCACTATATATTGGGAAAAATAGCTTTCTCTCCCAGTCCTGAATGAGTGGCTTTGTGTAGAAGATGAACCTTCATTCAACCCTTGCCCTAGCTCTTGGTTGTCTCTGAAACCTCTGTGATTGCCTAAGAAATGTGATTTATTCTTGATCAGTCCCAATTGTTGAAATTGTGCCAACCCTGCCATTGTTCCAAAGGGAAGGATCTCAGTTAACACCTAGTTTCATGCTGATTGGAAGCTCAGGCACCAATTTTTAAAGGATGCAAATATATATTGTAAACCCTGTTGGCCTCCAGACAAGTCCATGTAAAGGTGCTCCCTTGCTGACTTGTAAAAATTGGGGTTCCAGGCAAGTGTATAAACTCCTTTCTTAAAGGTACTGGCAAGCTGTAGTGAGGCACGGGAGAGCACAAAGATGGCAACCTCTGGCCTATGTAGCCTCTGGGTATATGGCGGTCTTGAAGCCTGCCCCTCTGGCTGAAATTCCAGGGCAAGTAAAATAGGTTTTCTTCGGAGGAAGATGTAGATGTTTCAGTCTGCTTTCTGTGCTATGGCCTGGGGATGGTAGCCTGCCAAGAACTGTCTCTCTGATTATTTCAATCCCATGGGGCCCAGAAATGCAAGCCCCTCTGGACCCCTGAGCCAACTGCTCAAGGGATGTCTTGTGTGTGGACTATGTGTGTTTGCTGGTTTTAACAGGGCCACGGGATAGTGTGAGGCAAGGGCATGCCTGCTGGCTGTAGCGGGACCACAGGAGAGTGCAGGGCTGGGCCACACCGGCCAGCACTAGCAAGGTAGAGTGACAGTGCAAACATGATGCCCAACAGCACCTTCATCCCCAGAGAGAGGCCAACAGGTCCCTGCCCCTCTGGCAGATGCATTAAGATTAGCAGATGAATTTCTTTCTTATATGCTCTAGGTGGGTTTCCAACTGCTGCTTTTGCACTGGGTCCTGAGGTGAATGAGTCTGTGTGTAAGCT